CTCTCTCTCTCGTACTTCCTCCTCGTCGTTCTTAGACGACTACTACGTACCGTCCTCTCTCTCTCTCTCTCTCTCTCAGTTTCTCTGGTCTTTCAAGACCAATACCTAAGCTTTCTCTCTCTCAGTTTCTCTGGTCTTTCAAGACCAATACCTAAGCTTTCTCTCTCTCTAAAACGCCAAGATCAGAAGCAGAAGACGATCAACAAGGCAAAGAAAAGAAATTGTTCGTACAAAAACCGGCTGATCGTCACTATCAACATCCATGTAAAAGGAGTTGGCAATCATTGATGGACTTCGATAACCAGGTGTGTCCTCTTGTCTTTTTTCCTTCTCTTTCTTCCCATTATTTTCATTAATGGAGAAAGGAAAATAGCCAGTCTTCCTAACAAATGGTACGCCTGTTCTTCTTTAAGCTTATTCGTCATTTTTCATGGCTTTTCGTCCTGGGTTTTGCAGCATTGTGAGAATGAGTTTTTGGGGGGGACATAATCTAATCTCTCTCTCTACTAATGGAAATAAATGGTGATAGTTGATGTGTATGGGGCATCAAAGTGGTACCAATGTTGGCATTGTTCAGTTATATGTGAGTTGCAAAGTTTTATAGTTACCCATACAAACAATAAGGGAAATTTACCAAATCCCACGTATAACATGAAGTGTTTAACATTTTTTCTAATCTTCTAAATAGCTTCAAAAATAAAATAATTTCCAAAACATACCAAAAAATTTGGGAGGGGGATTTCCACTATTTCCCCTCCATTGAAACCGAGCTTTCTCATTCATTCTCTTATGAGCTTATCACCCACTCTCTCTCTCATGAGCTTATCCACCTCTCTCTCTCTCTCTCTGCACTCTTTAGTTTGATTTGAACCTGTTTTATGTCTTTTCTTCTCTCTCTATCGCGGAGCATCGTTTTAACAATCAGATCATCTACGAAAATGATGAGGGCTCTAGTTTAGTCAAGACCGTCAATCAATTAGACTATATGTTAAAAAATAAAATGAAATATATTACAAAACGTTTTCAACTTGGATTAGATAGTCTAATCGGTTAAGAACAGCCTATCCATCAAATAAAAAACACATTGAATATTTATTTTGATAAGTTTTTAATAAAACCTAATTTTTTACTTTGAGCAAAACCTGCTAAAATACTAAGAACGATTTGACTGGTCAGACCTGCATGCCAGTTCCACTCTTGATAACCAAGGTTTATAGAAAAAGAGAACTTAATTTTTTCAAGGGGCAAAGTTGAAAAGTTTCCCTCCTCAAAATTCAAACTCAATATCAATCTCCATTATTGAAAATTTTGAAATTAAATAAGGGTTGTTTGAAATCAAATTAAATATGGGTTGGTAAATTGTTCATACTTTTGAAGAAATTTCCCAAACAATAATAATGAGGGAAGTCTTATATGGCCACCATTTTTTTTTTTTTGTTGTCTAACCAAAGGGAAAGCTTTCTATGTGACCCCACTGACATATATAGTATATATGATCTCTGGTCTCAGCCATTAGATCTAAGTAGATGACTGAGGTGGTTTGAGTTACAATGTCACAAACTAGCTCGTAACTGTCAGATCTTGATCAAATGGGTCATTTTTTTTTTTTTTTCTATAAATAATTTTGAAGCAAAATTTGGGACATGCATAGATTTGGGTTGCATATGGTAAAAATAATAATAAAATATTTCTGGTAATAAAAAAATTACCATAACGCCGCTAAAAGTTTCAAGGGCATTTTGTTATTTTTTATTAAAAAATATTTGATTTTTATCTTTTAGGTTCTCCCTAATTTTATGATGGGACGCACACGATTTCATCAACAAATATTTTGTAGAAAAAATTGAAAAATAAAACAATACTTAGTGTGATGTTCTAATATAAACAATTATAATCGTTTTGATTCAGATCGAACGGCTAAGAAGTGGGATCACATGTAACTTATTTGTCTCGTTGGAGTCAGGTAGAAACATTTCCTCTAAAAGAAAGTGTGATTTGCAAGATACAAATCTTGCGGTGGCTAAGTATGGCACCCATTTTTTGGGGGGCTATAATGAATACTTCAGTGGCCATACTAGCCCATGGTAAAAGAGGGATTGTGAAGTATGATACATGTAGCATACAATCAGTATGCTGCATGCCACCTCAATTGTCCATTGGCACGAATGGACAGCTCCGAGAAAGTCTTCCCCCAGAAGCAGCAGAGGAAGGGCTTAAAGTAAGGGTGGCAATGGACCCATACCCGACTCAAGACCCGGCATGGGTCCAAAAATTGGACCGGGTAAGTCGGATATCGATCCAAATTTTTGACCCAAATCTTATTTGAGTTTGGGTCAAGAAATATTTTTCGGGTCCGAATATATTAAATATATTTAAATAATATTAAATATGTAGATATTTTAATTTTTGGGTTGGGTTCAGGTTAGGTTTGGGTCCCACACTATATTTTCGGCTCTAGATCCGGGTCTGGGTCCGGGTCTGGGTCCGGTGATTTTGTGTCTGGTCGGGTCCAGGTCCCATATGATTTTTTTGGGTCCAGATCCGGGATCCAACTTGACCCGTTGCCACCCCTAGCTAAGAGGAAGTGTTCCCAGCAAAATTAGCTGTGGAGAGACTCATCTCAAGCTTCATTGTTGTTAACTGTGGAATCATAGTGAACATTCCCATGCATGACAAGGGTTTCTTGCCTTTTGTGTTTTCATAACAGGTCTATTAAAAACTATCATTTAGGACTGGTTCTTAAAGGACTCAAGTTGATGCAATCAGGTATATTTCAACACCCTTAACCTAAGCTCTGCGTGTTTAGGAAAAGTATAGCGTACACATCATTTACAGTTTGGACACTGGAAGGGTGTTTGTGTACCTTTCGAGTAGTCGAGATGGAATCTAGATGATCACGGGGACATTATTTTTCATTTTTTATAAATATTATTTAATGAAATTGGGGCGTACATGCATTTATAGGATTCCTTCAGTTAAAATAATCTATATAAAACATGACCATAATACCCTTCAAACATTTAAGGGTACTTAGGTAAGATTTTATTTGAATTGTTATTTTTATAAGGTGCGTCTTTATAAGATGCCTGAAAGCACCCATTTTCATGTGAATAGACCTATAAAAACAAAAATAAAAAAAGAAAATCAATTTGCAGCCCTCAGATATGCCCAAATTCAATATGTATGCTTGAGGGGTGCACTACCAGTTTCCATATGATGTGGATGCTATACCATCTTGTGTATTTATGCATAAAACTATAATTGGAGCTAAACGATTCTAGCTTAAATCAATATGCCCTTGATTTTTATCTTTTTTACAGTACTAAGGGAAACAGGTCGCACATGGTCGGAAGAGGAGCACTCGTTTCCGGTGAAAAAGAGAAAGAAAACAATTCAGGCATTGTTTCGAAGAATTGCGGAAGAGGAAATGGATGTGGAGATTGATGACAAGGAGAAAGCAAAGAAGAATGAGACAGAGATTGATGAGGATTCAGATGACAGAATAACTCTTAAGGAACTCTATTTGAAGAATGTTAAACAGAAGAAGGGGATGGAGAAGAAGAACAAAGTGGATGATGATGAATTTGGTGAAAAAGTGCCAGAAACAAAACATGAAATGAAGAACAATAAAAAAAAAAGATGAAGATGGTGATGGACGTGGAGAAAGATGAGGAGTTGATGGAGGGACTCATAAGGGAGAAAACTGATATGGAGGTCGATAATGGAAAGAAGAAGAACAAGAAAAAAGAGGGTTACAAGCAGTTAGCTGAGAGAATTTCGCAAGAGGAAACAGATGTGGAGACTGAAACTGGTAATAATGTTATGGCAAAGAAGAAGAAGAAGAGAGGGAATAATAAAATGGGATCGGGGGCTTCAAAGAGTACTGCAGTAAGTCGGAGGGGGCGGCGGCGCAAGCAGAAAACCCGCAGCTTCTCTCCAAGTGAGCACCACCTTCGACCGAGAAATCCGAAGGTAAGAAAGCTCAGTAGGATTGTCACCCGTTCTTCCCTTGATGAACAGGATGTGAATCATAAGAAGTTACCATTGGCATCAACGAAAGCACCTCAAAAGAGAAAAAAGAAGGCGACACCATCATCATCATCAGAAGAAAAATCACAAGCGAAAAGGAATGTGAGAGAAAACTCACCGAGAATCGTAATACGCCAACTAAAAATCACTGAGAGCACCGATGAAGAAATTGATGATGATTATTTTGACGAGCCAACCCAGAATTATCGAATCCCATCTTGGGTTCGCTGCAAAGTCTACACAAAATGCAACCATCACAGTTCAAAACCTTGTGAGAATGCTGGGGATGGACCCTCTTGATTTTCTATACTTTGTATTGAATGTTGGTTTTCTTGCTTCTAAGAACAGTTGGTATATTTGCTTTTTCAATATATAATATTTCTATTTGTGTTGCCCTCTCATGTGATATAATTGATTGATTGGTATAGGTAACTCATCCAACTCATTCATTTATAGGCCTCCTCTCTTATAAGTTTAGATTAGAGATGGATTTTAGATCCAAACTTCAAGCGGTTCGTAGTCTCGACCAGTGTTCACAAAGTCGGCCGAATAGTTTCTACTGGGCCGAGTTTCTTGGGCTCCGGATCTTGTCGAGTCCAAGTTGGGTGTCTTGTCTAACTTGGGGATATTAAATTTTTTTAAAAAAATAACATTTTTTTTTAAATAGGGAATTTGCTGTTTTTTTTATTTTTATTTTTTATGTTTTCTATCAATTTGGGAAAGATTGAAAAGTTTTTTTTGTCTATAAATACTTATTTTTATTTTTTTTCATATTTTTTTTATTATTTCAAAAATGCTCCCAGTCAAAAGTTGATTTTTTAAATCTATTTTTTGTACTACTTTTTTAACATCATTTTGACGTGTTTCGCTTAATCTTACATTAAACAAATATTTCCTACTTTTTAAGATATTTTTAATAATTTTTTGACATTTTCTTTTGCTACTAGTACTCAGCACTAATTGGCCCGACTCTGCCCGAATAATCATATCGGGCCAGAACTGATTACTCGGTCCGAGTCCCACTTTAACATGGGTCTCGACCATGGTGATCATGAATTTGAAAGAAAGAAAGAAAGGAGTAAATTCTGAAACTTCAAAATATATTTTTGAAATTGTTTTTAGCCTTTGATTTCACCTTTGTATGGAGTTATCTTTGTTGCTGCAAATCGCCCCCCCAACACATCAAATAGTTTTTCCCAATGGTTTAAAAAACCGATCGGTGACCCTGATCGGGCTTCCAAAAAATCGATCCGGATCGGCGAATCGACGATCCGGATCGAGAATCGGGTGAATCGATCAGAATAAAGCTTAAAAAAAATCCGAAAAAATTATTAAAATTCATTATAAATATTGTTTTTTAGGAATTCAATAAGAAATGAGGGTACTCCATTAAGAATTTTCATGTTTTTGAATAAATATACGAATATTGATATGTTCTTTCCCTGCATGAACCGCCATTCAGCATTTAATTTACATCACACAAAAGGATAAACATATAATTATCATAGAATAAGTATATCAACATACATGGACTACAATAAAGCATAAAATTAGTAATATATGATCTAAAAATAAAATGATAGACGACGTTATTGTTCTTCTTGGTCACGCTGGTGCCATTGATTGAATTCGTTTAACAATTCATTGATTCGATCTAAAAACGAATCATCGATATTAGCTGGCGTCTGACTATTCCTAAATCCCTGAGTGTTAGTGTTTTGTTCTGTTCCCAATCTAAAATCCCCGAAGATTGTCCATCCTTCATGCTCACCTGCACTGTCGTGCTCATCCCTACACTGTTGCTATTGGGACTCGATATGTGAATAATATGGCTGGGATAGGGTGACCTCTGAATCATCATCTCTCTCATTTTCTCTTTGAATAATATGGATTAAAAAAAAAAATAACAAATTTTCAAAAAAATCGATCATGGATTAAAAAAAAAAAGTCACAAATTTTCAAAAAATTCTATCATGGATTACAAAAAAAATTCGATCATGGATTAAAAAAAAAAATCATAAATTTTCAAAAAATTCTATCATGGATTACAAAAAAAAATTCGATCATGGATTAAAAAAAAAAAATCACAAATTTTCAAAAAATTCAATCATGGATTACCAAAAATTCGATCATGGATTACATAAAATTCGATCATGAATTACATAAAATTCGATCATGGACT